CCCGTGAGACGCGGCCCGCGGCCGTGAGCGGAAGGACGGGCAGGTTCGTGCCGGGAGGAGCCGAGCCGCGACCGGACTACTCCGCGGGCGCCGTCAGAAGGCACAGCGGCCGCCCGGCATTCTGTGGTGCCGGAGCTTGTCCTTCAGAGCTCCCGACGCGGCAATCGTGCCTCTTGCGCCCTTTTTGCTCTCTGGGGATCCGCTGTCTTTCCGCAGCCTTCCCGCTACTAAGTGCCCTCTGTGTGCTGCCTCTGAGTCCCGAGTAGTATCTTGTGCTACGCTGTGCTCCTCTCTACTGCCTGCCTCTAAGGGACCTGACCTCGGCGGTCTGCCTGCCGTCTGCTCTTATGCCTCAGAGCATCTGACCCTCTGGGCCCTCCATGAGGCTTCTCACCCCTCCTCCTGGCATCTGCTTCCTGCCAGCTGGCTGTTCCACTGGCTGTGTCTTCTTTTGCTCCCACTCGGTTATGTCTTTCTCTCCCTCTCTGCACTTAACAGCGTACAAACCTCTAGTCCTGCGGGGTACTTGATCCCTGGCTTGCCAGTAGCATTCCTTTCCTCCATCCATGTCTCTGTCCCTTCCTGTCATCACTGAGGATATTTGCTTTAGGAACTCAGTGTCTGTGTTCCACATGGTGTGTTGCCCTCTTATTTACATTCCTGGACACTCTCTAGAATATGTACCTGTTTCTCAGTCCTGGGGCAATGTTTTCTTCCCACCATACCTTGTCTTTTACCTACACAGTCCCTTATGCCTCCTACTCTTCTGTCTGTCCTGCTTAATGGCAGAGCCTGACATCAGGTACCCTGCAGTATAGCCCACCCCATACTTTGCCTGAGGTGTGTCCCTGTTCAGTACCTGACATCCCAGGTTTCTCTTGTATGTTACTGGTCCTTATCCTGTCACCCAGCTTCTGCTATATGTTACCTGTTCTGATCAGATTGTGTAATGCATGATGTATATTTGCTGTTTTATATGTCTAGCCTTACTCGTAAGGCAAATAGCAAACCAGCTACTAGCAGTAAAGAAAGAGACAGCACACAACTGATGATAATTTGTATTGTTGATTGTCATCCTTTTTCTTGGAACTGTGTTGACAGGATTTCCTTCCCCCTCCCCCCCAACAGTGCTACGGCACAACTACTTAACAGTGTAGCTGTGGCCTGTGCTGATTGCTTGTCTCATGACTTGCAGCACATAGTGAAACATCTGTGCTAATACTCAGGTGGTCTTGGTTCTGTCACTGCTTCATCAAGGAAAACAGTTGTAGCTAGAGATACTTAACTGGTACTGGCTGTGTGGTATTTTCTTTCTCATCTTCTTTTCTGTAGTTTTGAAAGGAGGAGAAGCAATCCCAGTTTATTAGCTCTGCTGGTCTGTTATGCACATCTTATTCTTGGTAAAATAAGGGTGTGTTATAAGGATAGCAAGGAAGAGAGAAGCAAGTAGAGCTTCTGTATACTTTGAACAAAATTTTAAAGCTTTACACCTCTTGGACAAATAGGGGTTGTATGGAAGTCTGAAGGTTTTCAAATATTACTCTGAAATGTTCTTCAGTATACCTAGTTCTTACTTGGTTGAAAAGTGACTAGCTCAAACATGTCATCTAACTTCCTGTTGTTGAAATAGCATTTTAGTAGTGACAGTTGCGAAAGCTGCATTGAATCAGAGATGCCAACCACAGTCGATTGTATGTGATTTATAGCCAAGCCATCATTTTTCCTTTGGTAAGGAGGCTGATATGCAATCCCATTAGGCCCTTATGTGGGGGAACAGGGGTACCTATCAATCACCTCTTTCTGGATATGCTTGAAGTGGTTGGATTGTAATGGGTACAATGGTCTTTGCCGTGTAGGTTGTGTGGGTAGCCTGTGCTTGTTGTAAGATGTTGTCTCTTACTTATATATATGCTGTTTCCTAAGTCATCTTTTAATGTCATCATATATAGGCTTACTATTCTTCTTTTGACTGTAAGACATCCAGGCAATTGGTGCAATTTATATTTTAAATTACACTGTTATTTCCATTATGGTCTTTACTGAAACTAACATGCAATTATAAATACTGCTGCTATCAAAGGCAAAATGCGCCTTTCTCCCCTATTAAATTGCATTTCTAAGAAATACAGCTCTCTGTGATGGAAAGCAATATTTTAAAATTACAGGGAGGCTCATTCGTTCATATTCTTATATGAAATGAATGATTCCTATGTTACGTGTAACCCCGACTCACCTCAAGATACCACTTTCAATTTACCAGTGCCATTAATTTAAGTGAGATATATGGAGATGGGGAGGAAGGTTGTTTTTATAGGGAACTGTGTGATGCCTTTTAATTTTAAGATAATTGTAGAGAGGGATTGTAAAAGAAGTATCATTTTTCTTAACCACCTCTTTCCAGGAAAAGTTGTGACTTCAGTTTGATGATTTCAAGGAAGTAATAAGGTGGAGCTGTGGTCTTGCTTTTGATTCCTTACACAAAGGTCTTGTCTAATAATGTATTGCTAATTTTAGCTAATGAAGCATACATCAGGTTTTTAAAAGGCACTTACAAAAGTATTTTGATACCTTAATGGGTGTAGAGTGAGCATAGTTTCTTTCAGTGCCTTGAATCCAGAAAGTATCTCATAGGCATTTTTTATCTTTGATGTAGTTATGATTGAGGTGGAGGGGGGAAAGAAGTCAGATTTAGTTAATCTTTTTAACTGTGGTAGCCATCAGATGCATTTGGAGCAACAGTAGCTGGAAGGAAGATATACAAAGAACAAATGTTCCTTAGCATTGCATGTTCTAGGCAGGGAGGCAGTACTGTTCATGAATATCCATGACAGTGACTTTTATAAAAAATACCTATTTCTGCTTACCCAAATGAAGAAGATACTACTTACACTATTTTCTACATGGTAGCACGATTTGAAGGTTGCCAACAAGAAGCAGAATATGAAAAGAAAACATAATGTTATTTTAATTGCGTTAGGGATAAATGTGAAATCTAGGCCAACAGAATTGAAGGACCACCAGATCATTGTGTCTTCTAGCAGTGGTTGTTACTCACTGTACCTGGTAAGAGCAAGCTTGAATTTTTTTATACTTGTCACGTCCAATGATCAGAGACTCATTTTTTGATCCTGAAGAATTAGAGTTGTCTAGCTTGTTTGTGAAGAAAAATGTTGTTTAAATTGTGGCATCCTTTAGCATAGAGGTATTGCATCATGTTTGCTGATCTGGAAATCTCTCTTTCATTTAAAGAGATTAAAGAGCCACTATTTGAAAGGCATGCTTGTCTGATTTGTTCTCTGCATCCCTGTGCTTATCCAGATGGGATTATCTGTAACCACTGACACAGAATAATACTGTACAATGAGAGAAGCTGTATTGACTCCAGAGATTTGGGAAAATCTCTGGAGAAATTGCCATATTTTTTAAAGCAACCATGGTGCTTAGAAATAATGTTTTTTCTTCTACAGAGTTTATGATTAGATATGAGGCAAATACGGAGAATAAACAATAGGAAGAGATGGAATTGAAGCAGGTAAAGGGTTTTACCGCTAAAAGCACAACCTCTATGTTGTTTATTTTCTTCTTAAAGGTACAGATTTTTAATATGTTACTGAAATACAATTATTTCCTCATACCTGTTGGCCTTTCTGAAAAGAAACTTCAAGGTGGATTTAACTGTGGACAGAACAGTAGCTTTGTAGTCTCATGAGTAATTGTGGGAGGAGAAGAGAAATGGGATACAGCAGTTAATATTGATATAAGAGAAGGCTGGACTGTGACTTGACTTGTCATAAACGTCTTCAAGAAAAGAGAAATATGCATGCAGTTTACAGTGACTAAATCTTTTTATGCCTCTATTTTCAATCTGTATAAAGAAAGGAGAAAATTATGTTTTCCCACCCCAAAATTTAGGGACATTTCATAACTAATTTGGGAAGTCTTACCCCTGGACAATGCATGACTATAAATAAAAGTAAATTCTGCTTCTACAGGTGGCAAAAGCCTGATGGTCTGGGAAGCTTTACAATTTAAATTTAAAATTCACTGGTAATTAATTATCAGCTATGTAGTAGATTGGGGGTGATGAGATACTTGATTCGTATTAGTTATCAGCCTTAACTATCTTCTGTCAGCTCTTGTTTCAGATTTATACTAGTGTTACAAATGGAGAAAGAACTAAATGATCTCCTTCAGTGGAAAGAAAAAGAAGGGAAAGAGCTACATGCTTGCCAGTTCCTATGTCAAAAGAAAATGCTGCAAGATGTCAAAAAGCAACTCCAAGTCATGCATGAAAAATTTAACAAATTGAAAGAAGATTTTGTCTATAACCTAAGAATTTTAGAAGAGAGAGATAAAGAGTTAGGACACTATGATGTCACAGTTGCTCATCTGAAAACATCTGAAAATGCTAAACAGGCAGAGATTAGTGATCTTCGAGTACAACTGGGTAAAATGGAGCAAATGCTTGTCAAGGAAAGAAGAAGAAGATGGAAACTTCATTATTACTATCAACAACGCATTGAAGAACATAAGTTAGAGCTGGAGCGGTTTTGCAGGTGAGATGTGACTTCCTTAGAATACTAAGGAGAAGAGAAGTTTAGCTTCTTTAAGACACATTTGGATTGAGGTAAAGCAGTAACATCATTCATACAGTAGGGAGCACTTTGAGCATGGAGGTAAGATTGTCTATCCTGACAGAGGAACACCTAGAACATGAACAGAGTGAGGGCTAACAGAAGTGACTGGGGCTATGTTTACACCTGCTATAACTTGGTTTCCACAGTGACTTGCCTGATTTCTGGCAATATGTTAGAGAAGGGATAGCATTAAGTGAAAATGAGGATGCTCTTAAACATACAGCGTGTCCCTACATAATTTACAAGGGTGTATGTTGGGGAGATGATATGACTGGGTGGAGATGGTATGATTATAAGGGAATCATAGTGTAGGGAGCAGAAAAGGATTTGTCAGAAGGAAATGCTTTTTCCTTGGGCACTGAAACACCTCTGGGAAATGAGATGAGTCTGAAAGTGTTGTGATATGTCTCCTGTGTGTTATATCACATGCACTTGTCTTCTGTGTACGTGAGGAGACAAATGATAATGGTATCAACTGTGGTCAGTAATATTATCTAGGGTTACTAGACATTAGTTGCTATGTTTGCTGTGTATTCAACACAAACAGTTCAGCCCTTCAACTATTTTAAGCCGTTGCAAGCTAATCTTATGGTAGGAGTTGGGTTTGTGCACTCTTAAATACATTTTGTCCCGCCTTCTCTGATAGGCCTCTGTGAAGGAAAGAAGTCTGTTGGGGCATATCCAGTCACAGGACCAAGATTTATGACTAATGCAACGAAGTAAAAGATGAAGATAGCTAAAGCAATGCACTTGTTTAGTTTGGCCATTCTCACCAATTTTTATTACTCCGTATAGACTTCTAAATCTTGCTGGAGCAGGGGATAAACGCTTATTTCTTGAGATCTGTCTGCACATCATTCTTGTTTAATTTAACTACTGTCTTCAGATATAACAGTATCTTTGGGATTAATCTCTGCTTAAAATGGTAACTGCTGTAAAGTGTGCTGGGTCAAACTGCATTTATAATGCAGAGATAGCTGGGTAAGTTTTAAATAACTTTTTTGTAGTTATTAGAAGTGATCTGGACATGGATCTGGAATTCCTCAAAGGTTGCTGACTGATTGATGTTACTGTGGTTCTGGAGCATATGCAAATTCATTTAAAGCTAGTTCAGGAATTTTATATAGAGCATATACTTTGGGAATGGAAGGAGGACTTTGAGTCTTTTACACGCAGCATTGCCTCTTTGCTAGGCTGAGTTGAATACCGATCACTGAGCAGTACAGCGATTATTCTTCTGATCTGCCTTGCCCTGGAGAGTTGTGGGATGAACAAGGGAGGTGTAAAAGTGCCTGTCTAGACTACACTGAGATGACACTTCTGTTAGGCTTTATTTATATGCATAAGTGTTGGCTATAGGATTCAGATTAATTCTGGCAAAGTGTAAATTTGAAAGCAAAATCTAGCAGAATAGGAAGGTGAATATGCATTTAGCTCTTTGTGACTGTCCAGTTCTAGTTTGCAGTTCTGTCTATATAGTTATTTTATGATCAACTTTATCTAACCAAATGCAGCGGTCATTCAGTTACGTAAAATAACTGTAATACAGAGTTGGAAGTAATCAGAAGTTGCAGAACTGCGTGATATCTGTCCAGGTCTGTTTGGCCGTGTAACAGGCTGCACCAAACCTGTTGAGTCTTGCAGGGATGAATCCAAAGCTTGAAAAGGTTCAGTGTATCATTAGAGAATTTACTGGTCATAGTAGCAGTATCATCTCTTTGAGTTTGTTTGAAATGCTGGCCTTACTGGTATTCTCTCACTGTATCTCGGAGAAAATTTTTTTTGTTGATAGCAAATAAAAATACTGGGGGGAGGAGAGGAAAAGATACAGAGCTGCTTCTGGTTTTAAATGTATCTAAAAGCTTGGATTTCTGCTGGGCAGCCCTTGTTTTGCAATTTCTTCTTGTGTAACAGAATTTTTTGGGTGGAGGAGGAGCTCTCATACTTAAGTGGAAGTCTTGCACTACTTTTCAGCAGATCCTTGGTATTTCATATGCAACTAACTTTTGAAGTATAGTTTTGAGAAATAGCATGTGCTGTTACAATTGGTTTCGACTGACTTATGAGAAAAAAATTTTATGGTGACTGTTTCTTTAAGAAATTATTGCACCTTGTATTTATAGTTATGTGTTATTGTTCAAAAAATTGTAGGTATGTATGCCTCATTAGGTCACCAGAGATGGTCTTTAATGTAAATTTGTTTTATTTTTGTTTATAGCTCTAGGAACAGTCACATAGATCATCAGCATGAGGAGTATGTGAACCTGAAACATCACATGGAGAGAAAAATCCAAGAACTGGAAGGAGAGCTTGCTTGTCAGAAGCAGGTATAAGAATATGGAGAAACAATGTTGTGTTGCTGTGGCGCCATCTAGCAATCCTTTTTTTCTTTTCTTTTTTTTTTTTTTTTATTAGATTGTTCTGGTTTAACATTCCTGTAGTTGTATAAGCTTTTTTTTTTCTTAAATTGATGAGATTTGTAATGACAGTTTAGAAAATTATGCACTACTTGTGTAGTAGCTGTTGCTTTGCTTGTCTGACAGCTGCCCCTTGTAAGGGACTGTTAAGAATGTGTCTAGTAATCTGAGATTGTGTAAGATTATTTTATGTAGACAGCACACTACTAAATTTGTTAACCTTGAAACTGCAGGAAAGGTCAGCATCTAGAAGATAGAGGCAGCCTTAGGCAAGATGGGTAAATGTAAATTGTTTATCATACTCCTAGTTACAAGGCTTTTTTTTCCCCCTTCTGCCTCTATATTGCTATAATTTCATCATAAAAGGATAATCTTACTAACAGTGAGATTTGACTTTCAACTGTGATACCTTAGGGGGGCCATTTTGTAATATATATAGAGAGGTGACAAACTTTAAAGAACAACAAAACCTTCCTTCGTTGTTTTTGTATAAAAAAATATTTGATAATAAAATGACTTTTAATTATTTACACATGGATGTATTTAGTCATTAGAACTAGAATGGTTAATTTTTGGCCTGTCAGCCAAACCAATATATCACATAAATGGAAGTTGTGAAAGAGATTGTTAGGCAATTACATCTTGCACCCAACACCTGCCAATCCAAATCTTGCTGCCCTCAGTATAGTAGTCCTGTTAAACCCATCTTCATCCAGGAGTCTTTACCCGTGGGCTCCCCAAAGACAGTTTATGAACCTACCCAAAATAGGTTCACTTTTCACTTGAACAATACTTAATAACCGGCTGATTCAGAAGTTATGTTTGTGTGTTGTGTGGTTAAACTGTAATGATAGAGCTGATTAACTGCTGTTCTGCAAGCGTAAGGGCACATCATCTAATACACACTATTTCTCTTAACTTTTTTTTTCTGCTCCAGTGTGGTATCTCCATTGTTTATGGAGATAAAGCAGCTAAACTAAAGCAGCACATCTTACATGCTTGCCATTGGGTCTCTTTGCAGTCATTCCACTAACCTAACACATGATATTGCATCAAATAGCCAAAATCCTTTGTGACCTTAGCCTCTTGTTTTCAAGTTTCAATCATGTTTTATCAATTGAATGCCTGGAAGTAGTATCTCATAAACACTTTTTTTAATACTTTATCAGTCTAGGCACCTGAATGGCCACTCACTGCAACAGTTTAATTTCTGGAAAATCCATGGCTCCCTTACAAACAGTTTTTTATACACTTAGGAAGCATAGGTGTTGTGAAGAATGAGTTTGACGCTTCTTCAGCGGTGTCTTCACTGGTGTCTTTAATTTCTGTGCGTTGGATTCTGAATACCTTGCAATGTTACTTTGGAGGAATTTCACACCAGAATGACCATTCTGTAGGACTGTTCTTACTTGGGATTGAAGTGTAAAGTCCTCTAGCAACAGATTTTTGTTTTCCCAAGTATGACAAAAAATATGACTGTTTTGATTATTTTCCTTTAAATTAATATTCAACAGCTATGCAGGGGAAAAAAAAAAAGTCTTTCCTGTAGCTTGCTGTCTCCCAGCAGCCCTCTTGTCACTTTTATTTCCAGAGTGGAAAACGTGGTAGTATTTTCTGACTTTTCAGTAAGGCTATAGTTTCTTAGCTTTTTAGAAGTTCTGCAAGTATTCACCTACAAGTCTCTATGACCTACAAGTCTCTATGACCTACCTTTTAAATCTTTTTTCATGTGGTTTGTTAGTGACGACTTTTTGTGCTTTAATACTGTTTCTATTGTCACTCTGGAAGAATAGAGGGAAACAGTTAAATATTTATCACCATTAATTCCCTATATATGTATGTGTGTGTGTGTGTGCGCGCGCGCACGTCTAAGAAGATAGTTGTCCTAACTGCTTGTAGTAGATTGTAGATAATAATCAAAATCCCTTTATTCATGTGCTTATAATATAAATTTAACTTCTGTTAATATTATTTTATATTTAAAATTTTACTTTAAGTTGTGGCAAAAAAGGCTGAAATAACTTAATTCAGTTTCTTTTTGTATAGCTCAGGACTGTTTGGTCCCATTTGCTAAGTAAAGTGTCCAGTTTAAAAAAAAAACAAACAAAACAAAACCAAGCCAAAAACCCCACAGCTTTTAGCACTGGGAAGATACAGCACTTTTCTGCTCCTCTAAAAGTTAAAAGATCAGGTATTTCCATAATGGATAGTCTTTGACATATCACAAATGCTCAGATGTCTATAAAGGAAATGAACTTTAATGTCTGTAAGGTGGGTTTTTTTCCTTAAAATAAGCTGCTGCTTTATTTTTCTTCCTACCCCACCCCAGTTATGGAATCTGATCTTATTTTGCAAAGGATGCCATTTGACTGATGTGTTTCTTTAAATTCCTCTTTGCTGTACAAGTCATGTTAGGGGACCTACCATAGGCCAGATGATAGGTTTCATTCAGTACATTCTGATTCTCATTACAGCAGAGAAAGATTATGCAATGATTAAACCCCTTGTACAGTGTTTATAAAAGCCTGTGACAATACAGTGTTTCCATCAGTACCATAGTACTAGTGTTACCTATCTGTTGCTCCCCTTGTAGGAACTGCTAGCTGAATTTGATGCAGAAATGAAAAAGAGAGAATGCGAGTTTCAAAAGCAAACAATTGAAATCGGTAACTTAGCTCTGTCTCATGAAGTTAAGGTAACTTACTTTTAAGCTGTTACCCTTTACTCACAGAATGAATGTGTTTGTTATAATCTCAAGTCATTCCTGTGTGAAATGCATGAAAAGATGACTCTGTTGCTGTTGCTGTCTTTTCCTCTGCCTATGTATTGAACTGATTGTTTCCAGGATAGCAGGAAGCAGGGGTATTTGTGGTATGCATCTTAATTTCACTGATAGTGACTGGGTTTTTTCCTACACAACCAAAAACTATATATAGGTCTTTGAAATGCCTGTCTCATCTTTCTAAGGCTAGTAATGAGGAATTCACTCTTCCAAAATCTATATTCTCTGTGTGTGCAGTCTTCATTAATCATCATCCAACATTACTTGGGTGGTTCTCTGGTGCCTGTGTTCGCTTGCTTCAGTCGTGGTTTAACTGATAGCTTAATAATGCAACCAACCAAGGTTTATAGGTAGAGGGGGAAAAAACCCTCACATTAAACCAACTGATAGCATTGGGAAAAGCAGACAAGCTTTCAGAAAGAGGGCTTGTATGCATAAAAGATTGCCAGCTTTTTCCAGCTGTGTTGATTTTACTTCTGCCTACAAACTTCACCTTGCCAAAGGCTTATTAGGGTAGTGAAATGTTGCCTGGCCATTAGTGGTATCCATGGACTCCTGCATCTTGAATGTTGACACAATTGGAGTTTAGTTTCTGGTTTTGTTTTCTTGCTTTGTCTTGGGCCTTCTTTGAAGGACGCTGCTGTAGTAGTGGACCAGAAACCATGTTGTCTTACTGCGGTCTTGACTATAAAGATTGCATGATTGCAAGGGCATGTAGTGATAGGATGAAGGGTAATGGCTTTAAACTAAAAGAGGGTAGATTTAGATGAGATGTAAAGAAGTTGTTCTTTGCTGTGTGCGTGGTAAGGCAAGGGAACAGGTTGCCCAGAGAGGTTGTGGCTGCCCTATCCCTGGAAGTGTTCAAGGCCAGGTTGGATGAGGCTTTGAGCAACCTGGTCTAGTGGAAGGTGTCCCTGCCCATGGCAGGGGGGTTGGAACTAGATGATCTGTAAGGTCCCTTCCAACCCAAACCATTCTATGAGACGATTCTATGATATGACCAACTGCTGTTGACTCAATATGAACAAAGGAACTGCAACTACATGTATATTTATTAAATGTAAATTTGCACATATTGCTTACTCTGTGATATGCAGTATAACTCAGATAGCACTTCAGTATAAATCTTTAATCTTTGCAATTTTCAGACTTGAGTGCTTGATTAGATACCCGTAATACTGTTTCAGTTTAATACTGCTTGCAGCTGTGTCTGAATGTAAAGGCTCTCTGTAGGCCTCATATGCTGGATGCTATTATATCTTTTTCTTTCTTTATGAAACATGTTGTCTATATTGAGTTATGTTTGGGGTTTTATATATCTATATCTATTATTGCACCTGGGGCAATTGGTGGTGGAAGTGTTAAGCAAGGGAAGGAGAGGTCACCTGTACTCATTTCCCCCAGGTGTTACTGAGGCCAGCTGTAGGGGAAGACAAGAAGCCACTAAATAAAAAAACTGTGTAAAAGGAACTTTAGGCAGAGATGGGAAAGGGTAGTATCCAGGATTAATGTTACTGTAGGTAGTAGGTGTAAGAAGAGGATACAAAATGGATATTTAGCAATGGTATGGGAGTATAAATTTAAAACACCTTCCCCATAACTTATAACCTCTGCTGTTATTTTAAGAGCTTTGTTGATCTAATGCTTATACCTTGCAAAATGTTACTTACAAATTAAAAAAAAAATCAAGCAAACAAAAGAACCACCCCCCAATAAAAAAATTTAAAAAAAACCCACCTCACAACTTTCTATACTATTTTGTTTGTTTCTGGAGCTGATGCTAACACTTCAACTGTGTAAGGGCTCTGGATCTCTTAAAAAAATTAGGTTATATCAGGCTCTCATTAGAATTCTTAAATCTTACTCTCCTCCATTCTAAGGTGAAGCTGCTGACCAGAGAGCTGGAGGCCCTCAAAGAGATGAGAATGCAAACACCAGAATCACTGGAAACAGCAGAAATCTTTGATTTGAGACTGGAGAAAGAAAACCAGTTCAACCTAAGTTCTGCTTTTACTGTGAAAGATGCTTGGTATTGTACAGCTTTGATTATGATTGAAATAAACTTGTGTTCACAGACTCTACAACTCCACAACGCTTTTCAACTTACTCTTCTTCACATAGTGTCATTTTAGCAACAGCTTGGGATGGTGTACGTGAATTAATTGATCTAGTAATACATTTCATTACAACAGAAAGAGGTTTGTATGAAATATTTGCTAAGTCACATGGATTCAGGTTAATTCTGCTACGTTCTTTCTGGATGTAACCTGTCTCACTTTAAAAATAAAGTTTCATCTTAGAAGTTTTAATGGTTCAATGGTATCTTCTGCTTTTACTGCAAAAAGGAGTACCTCTTCCAAGTGGTAAATATAATGAAAAAACTTAGCTCATCCCACTTCTAGAGTGTGTGGCTAGTTTTGGTGTCTCATATTTCACACACTTGATTTAAATCCAGTAAGTCCAGTTATGTTCAGTCACAACTTTATACTTTCTCAAGCAGCTGCAGACAGATTGTGAATATAGTGACAGAAAATAACTCATTCAAACCAGAGTATTATTGGGGGTTTTATCTTTTATGTTTTACTCATCACTAGTTCAAACTTAAGAAAGAAGACTTACTCATAGTTCAGTTTCCGTTCCTTCTGTTTTGCTTTAATCCTTTATGTCCAAAATTTTTGATATATTTTGAAAAGTTATATGCAGGTCAATTTCAGAGGGTAAGAACATTATACAAGTATTACTTGCATGTCTCCTTTTTTATTTACTGTTAAATTTGAGTTTTCTGTCGGTACTATTTGGTGGTATTTTCTTCTAACAGCTCACTTCTGTCCTGTTTTAAACCTGGTCTCTATTTTTGTGTGAGCACATGCTCAGGAAATTAATCTGTGAATGAAAACTGAATACTCAAGGAAGCATTTTTTTCTCCATGGATTCCTGCAGTCTCTTATTTGGGCCACCTGATCATAGCTGTCTTTCAATTGTTCGATTACCGTAAAGAATATTTTCAGTACGGTAAAAGAGTATGTTGAATGGAGTAGTTCACCTGTTAAAATAGCTTCTGTATGAGTCATCTTAGGAAAAAAAAAAACAACAACAATTTTTAGGATCACCCTGATCCTATATTTAGGTGAAATAGTGTTGTTCTTTGTGCTAATCACAAACTTAAAGTTCTGTGATAAATTGGAGTTAAACTCTCTGCAGTGGTATAAGAAGCATTCAGTCCTGGTCCTAAGACCAACTGAATAGTGGCATTCTTAGTTCGAAAAAACAACCGCAAAAGACTTCCCTGCAACCTGTTCCACTGACAAGCATATATTGATTTCTGTTTCCACTGCTTTTGACAATGATTCTTTGAATTTGTTCAAACGAAATTGGTAAGAAAGTAAATCAGCAGTACTAGAAAATAATGTGCTTGTGTTCCTTGAAACCTCACTTTATTCTGTCTCTCTACATCTTCTAGGCATGAAGAACTAGCTCATGCTGCCAAGGAAAGGGATGCAATGCCAACTTCAGTGAAAGAAGACCAAGTCAAACAATTTAAAAAGTTGAAGCAGCAGATTAGAGAACTGCAGATGAGATATAAAAATCTGGAAGTTGAGCTATGCAGAAGAGAATGGAGTCACAGTGCTTGTTTAAGAGAGAAAGATGCTCTTATTAGAAAGTGAGTGACTTGATTTATCCTGTTTCATAAGATGTGATGAAAGAAATTCAGAACATCATATTTACCCGTTTTGTGCCCAACTTATTTATGTGAAAATCTCACAGTAATTAATGGTTAAACAGATTCCACACTTGGAGTACTGTGTCCAGTTCTGGTCCCCACAATTGAAAAAAAACACGGACAGACTGGAGGGGGCCACAAAGATTATCAAAGGGCTGGAGAACCTGCCCTATGAAGAAAGACTGAAGGAGTTCTCTCCCTAGAGAAGGCTCAGGGGGACCTCATTACAGTTTTCTAATACATAAAGGGTAGCTACAAAGAGGATGGAGGCTCTCTCTTCACAAGGAGCCACATGGAGAAGACAAGGGGCCACAGGTACATGTTGCACTGGGAGAGGTTTCATCTCAATGTAAAAAATAATTTTTTTATTTTAAAGTGAGAACAGTCAGTCACTGGAACAACTGCCCCATGGACATGGTAGAGTCCTCATCACTAGAGGTTTTCAAGACACAATTGTACAGGGTACTAGATAATCTCATCTAGGCTACCTTTCCCATGAAAGGTTGGACCAGATGATCTTCCAACCCAGGCTGTTCTATGTATATTATTGCAACAAAATTTATAGCAAAATTTCAATATATGCATATAAACTTCAGGTTTATGATTGACATAATCAAGAAGCATCTCCTCAAGGTTGAACAAGAAAATGAGGTCACATGGAAAAGAAAGTATCTGGGAACCTAGGGAAGGAACAGCACACCAGAAGAAAAGAACTTCTTTCATAGCCAGCCTGGAAAGAGGCAGCTGCCAGTCCAAGAAGGCCACTGGAAACTAAAGAATTGCTTAGGTGGCCTGCATTTTGTATTACTGGAAATGCATGGTTTACAATATGCATTCGGCTCATTAAAACATCCCACTGAACTCCTAATTAAAAAAAAAGTCATTGAACAGTTTTATATCCAAGATTGCATCACATGTTTTGTTAATTGTCTTAAGCAAGTATGTATTAACATAGTAGGGGGGCATTTCTTGTATGTAGACTTCAAGAAGAAATTGTAATGCTAAAACCAGGCCAAGATTCTCATCTGATTGAGATTTCTAAGGAGTCTGCCTCTAAAGAATTCCAAATTCAATCAATGTGTGGACAGGAAGATAAGTTGAGAGCACACTTGGCCAAATTCCAGAAAGATGCAGAATGGTAAAGACGACTTAAGACGTTGTCTAAAGTGACATTTACAACCAATCTTAAGAGTGCCCTGAAGTCTTGACAGCTTCGTGTTTTATAAGCTCAGCCATATGACAATTGAACCTGTCTTGAAAGTCCTTAAATTCTGAATATGAGGTTTGTCTTGTTTTGTGCACCTCCTATCTCTTCTCTTTCCACAGTGCATTTTCAGTATAAGTATATGCAGCAGCCTTTGAGCTTAGGAATTTTACCCTGACAATCCAACAACTTTAATTCCTAGCTGTTTTATATCTCATTTCTGTTATTAGCAAATGGGAAATGTGCTGTGGATAGTATTGCCAAGAGCAGTATCGGTGTTGAAGAGTAGTTTATGCCACTTGAGCTGACCTCCAGAGCTGATTCTAAATACCCATATATAGATGGACCCTAGGAGCTCTAAGCAATTAAAATGCTTTTGTCCAGTAAAACACTTAACAGTGGAATAGAATAAAATAGGTAATTTTGAAAACAGAACAAGAAAAGAAGATGAGGACAGCAAATATGAGATTTAAAAACAAAACAAACACAAAACAAACACAAAACATCCTCAGTATTTATCCTGCTGAAATCAACAGCTTTGCTCTGTGTATTGTAGGCTTAAACAACTGTGTCTGGCAGGTGAGAGCAAATGGATTCTGGAACAGAGTAAAATGCAAGCAGAACTGGACTGGCAGCAGCTCTGTGAGAATGCTGAAAGTAATTGGTATCAGAAATCAGAGGATCTAACACAAAGCCTGTCTTCAGCCAGAGAGCAGGTGAGAATTTCAAATTAACACTGTTTAAGAACCATCTGTTGCATAGAGAGCCATGGAGTCTTTCCATCATGATGTTTCTCAGGGGAGGCATGACATTGGTCTTCTTTCAAAAATCTGTAAAACAGTAATTCTGTGTTATGCACAGGAGTTCATCAAATATATTTGATCAGAGACCAGATTAATTTTCATGGACAATCTCCAATAGCAGCCTTTTCTCCCTTGTAATGAAGTCAAGCCAGCTTGAGAGATGCCACTGCTTTTCTCTTGGCATTGTAGCAGAAGAAGAAAGATATCTTAGTTAGACCAGCCCCTGGCCAAAAAGAGTTTCGGATCACAGTGCAGCTTGAATTCTATCAAGGGAACAATATTTGTCCTGGAAAACACAGGTATTTTTGTAGGGGGGGGGGAATCCTATTTTGTGAAGTGTACAAGCTTCTGTTTCTGAAAAATGAAATACATGTTTATTGTTTAAAGACTATTACACAATGGGATAACAGTAATTCTCAATGACCGGTTGCCTAATAAACTCATGGGTACAGAGGAAATAATTGTTTACAAAATTTAGAATGCAGGCATTTAGTCCAGTGTTTTATTTTACCATTGTCTTCTCAAAATGATTCATAGGCATCAATAGGTGTAGCATAGAAACAGATCTGAGAGATGAATCAGCATTTTCTATTTCACATACAGAAAATGAGACAATGAAGTCAAATTATTTTTCTGTGAAGGCAGTTTTTGACAGAGCCAAAAGGGGTATGCTTTAAGGCCCTGTCCTGTGATTTAAAATATCTTTTTCTTTGATTTCCTTCCTTTTTTTTTTTTTTTTTTTCTTCCTTTTTTTTTTTTTTTTTAATCTCTGCACCCTTTGTCCTTGAGATACTGACATCCTCCACTTTCCCTCCCTCCCCTCCCTCCTAGGTTAAAGCTGATCTACAGAAAACAGACTACAGCTTGCATGAAGTGAAGACTGTTCTTTCTGCTTTGACTGTTGAGGGAGAAGAGACAATGCAAGCATCGTTTAATCACAGTATTTTACCTGAGGGGGAGAAACAGGTTAGACAATGCTTAATGTCTTGACTTGGATGAATTCATTCTGAGATGAAAACTTTATGGGGCTTGTTTCCACTGGACTTCTTGTAAGCCATTCATCTGTTTTATATGTTTAACTCAAAATATAGGCATATCTAGCCTGGAATACACATAGATTAGGTGTCACAGGTTTCATTATGGCTCTGATCCATTACTCACTGGCAAAAGGAGCAAGCTTGATGTAGACAGTTCCTCCAAAGCAGGACAATGTACTGTACCGTCATGGCACATCAGAATGGGAAGAATCGATTTCTGGAATGTTCCTGAGGCTCTGTGTTAGTTGCAATTCAGGGTAGATTTTAAAGTTGCAAAGTTAAAATTTTAAGCAATGCTTCAAAACATTAATTTGCCAGCTGTTTAAAATAATGTCTTTTATTTTAGTATCACAAACTAGTTTTCCTTTCATTGCTACTTATTAAAATACATATATTTTAAAGAGCCATTCAAAATTGCAAACGTAATGCTGTTTTCAGCCGTGCTGAAGGTTAATGCATTATGAGTAAAAGATTGTCTTTTGTAGAAGAGTGAAAATAAAGAGTGTGCTGCAGCGCGCCCTACTGGGCACCTACAGATGCTCAACAATGAGCAGTTAAGAGTGTATTATCAGCGCTTGCTGATAAGAAAAAGCGGTGTTAAGCAAGACAAGTGGTTTCTGAATGCAGGAAGTGTTGTATTCACAAAGATACTTCCTGAAAACAATTTTTATAATAAATTAGACAAAAGTAGACTGCTTACTATGGAGCAAGTTGTTTTTCCAATTTCATTTCAAACTGGACTGATTTGCACATTGATCGTTCAAATACCAAGAGAATCAGGGTTGGGGAGGGGTGGTTCTTTTACTGTTCACATTCACTGTGTCTTGCACTGTAACTGACTGTTACTGTTGTTGGTAAGACTTTGTTTTCATTGTCACACTTTTCCTTCTGTTGTTAATATACTCTGTCTCCGTTTTGCACATTTGGCCAGTAGGATAAGCAGTACCCATCTCAGCAAAACCATTTTTGTTTCTGATTTACATGAAGGACCATTGTTTAAAAAAAAAAAATAACAAAAAAAAATTTATTATTCTGAGCTAGAATCTTTTCTCTTAATTTTTCTGTACAAAATGAATTGTAAACAAACGGGGGGAAAGTGATTAAAAGTTCAAAACTGGTAACATTTGTGTCAATGAGTCTTCTTAAAGAAGGAATAGTATGTTGGCTAGCATCTGGCTCAGATGACTGAGGCAAGAAAGATTAAATACACCCTGGTACAGTATCTTCAGCATACAGGTCCTTTCTTCAAATTGGCCTGAGACTCCATGTGGTTGCTAGAAGTACTGCAGTAGTCATTCTTGGCCTTTAATTAAGCAACGGAGATATGAAATACACCGGTGTGGAAAATCTTGCTTGTAACTGATATTGAGTATGACTTAGGTCATGTCTGCCTAACTGGAGCATACTAATAATACCATACAAGTGCACAGATAAGGAAAGAATTGCTTACAGTACTTCTGGATGATTATGTTGTCTTCTGTCTAGACCCTTTTCCACTAGCAAAAATCTGGAACAGTTGTATTTCTGTTTCAAACTGCAATGGTTCATGTGTATGTTGCAGGCTGAGGTGAAGTTCTGCACCCTAAAATTCAGAACACAGCTGGGTAATGTATTGTACCTACTGGTGCCTTTCCCTTCATGCCTTTTCAATCGCCCTTTCCCCCCTTCTCACTTTAACAGCCTTGGAGAGATTGTAAAAGCAGAACAGAGATTATCCTCATCTTCTGCATTCCTTGTTCTGTTAGGGCAGAAAGAGCCACAGGAGAGAGGCTGTAGGGCAGCAGTTGTCTTTATGACAGTGAAATTTAATTTGAAAGCCATTAGCATTCCAATCACACTTGCAGATCACATTCACAGAACAGGCTTACGACTGGGGAAATAAGAGGACTGAAGGAAGTGGGGAATGATGGAGGAGACAGAAAATGAGTAGCGTTTGAGGCTCTGCAAGGCATAAATGTTGAGACTGAAGTATTTTGCTGACGTGTCATATGTGCAGGGCCTCATGGATTGCCTTTCCCTCTCAAGAGGCAGAACTGCTGCTTTGCAACAATATAAGGTTAGGGTTGAATACAAACATTTTTTGGGCTCAGAAACATAAATTAGCAGCATTTGATACAAATATTCCAAACACATTAAACGGTCTTTTCCTTTTCAAAAACATCTGGTATGGACGGTCTGCAAATTGTGATTTATTTAGTGACTATAGGAGTGTATATTGCACAATTGCAGGGCTTTTTAATACTCCTGTATCAAATAGTATCTGCATTTCTTAAATGGCCGATGACAAATGTTTCTGTCAGCTAGAGAGAATTTTACAGGGGAGGAATCTAAATTCTGCATTCTCTGTTTGGATGAAACCACAGTTATAATACACTGCTACTGGTCTAATGTAACTTCTTTTAAAATGGTTGCAGTCACACTTTGAATGAAGAAACAGCAGAAGTAAGTAATGTCAGGACCCTAATATCCTGGTCCTTATATGCCATTGGTCCTACTAGAATTTTTTCCTGAAGATTGTACTGGAATTTCAAGTGACCAGGAAATGTGTTTTCCAATCAATGTCTGTGTGCTTGGGGTCTTTTTGTCACATCTGTTTTTCCTTTTTCTTCCCGAAAGTTGCAAATTTGGAAATTGAGGAGGCCCATGAGAGGAAACATTTCTGTATTTGTCCTTTTTTTTAATATTTTTTCCTAAACATATGTTGCTGACTATTGTCAAGAATTGGATTCTGGAGCTAGCAACCTTTGGTGTAACAGCAAAGCAGTTCTTAAAGTTTGTGATCTATAATGTTTCGCATTCTTGTCCTGATTAGGCCGTCACTCCATTCATACAGGACTAGCTTTCCAAACTAAATCTCTAAGATAATCTTTAAGGCTGTGTGCAGCCCATGAAGAAAACACTGAGCAATTCCCCTTCAAAAATTTAAGAAATAGAATGATTCTGGGATGTATTACTCTATAAGCAAGCTGCTCATAGTTTACTAATATAAATTAGTTTTTTTACGTAGTTAAAGCAGCTTTGGCAACCTGGGTTTTGTCAGCCTCTTCAGTTCTGGAAGTCTGCAAGAATGACGTTTGGTCATCACTTCATGCTTCCACCAAGTATAATTCCAAAAGTCAGGCTTCAAGGCATTTGTGAAGGCAGAGCTTCAATCACTATCTGACAAATGTTCCTTCTACATTGTTCACTGTTAGGTTATCTGTAACTAATGCACGAAAAGAAGTCATTACTACTTATTTTACAGTTGAAGTGCTTAGAGGTTTTCTAGATGTTGTCCATTGTCCAGGTTGTCTAGATGTAGTCCATACACTCCTTCTCCTTTTCCAGTTTAGCAAAGGATGTCCAGCCTATTTATGTTCTTGTGAATAAATGATCTCCAATGACACTTTCAGGAGTTTGGCAGGTCAGAAAGGGGACTGCTGCTGACCCAGTAAGTTCTTTAAAGGAGACGGGTTACCCATGCATGAAAGAGAGAGAGAGAGCACACTTCAAAGAACAACAGTGATAAGACAGAGCCATCTCTGTGGCCATCCTCCTCCCCATCTGTGCCTCCTCTCCCATCTCAGGTTATCATCATAGCACTATTTTCCCCTGGTAAATCCCCAGAATAACCAGATCTCTTTTCTTCCTATGGTTCTTTTCTCCCAAGTCTGTTCATGGATTGAAAGTACTAGGATCTCTGTGTGTGGTGTTGTGGAGAGAATATGTATTGCTCATTAATAAAGGGTTGTTATTGTGTTGTACTTTCATTTTACAGATATTTCAGTGTGATGATAAAAGTTCTCTGAGCAAAGATATTCCTACCTTGGAAATAAAAAAGCTGCAGGAGCAGAATGCCAACCTTCGGGCTGCTGTTGCACAAATGAGGAAAGAAATGGAGAGTCTTGATGAGCAGATGTTGTCCTCTCTTCCTCTGACAGAAAACAGACAGCTTGCAGAGCAAGGTGACAACTCTTGCCCCGGAACTCTAAATTCAGTTAAGGAAGTGTAGCGGTCACGATCACAACCTATGAGGGCTGCCCAGCTCATGGGTGTTTAAAGATCACGACCGTGGAGTTCTCAGGATTGCACAATACACAAGCACATAGAGGTCTGAGATTCTGAGAATTTATTTATTACAAATATTATTTATTACCTTTATTACAAATATTATTACCTTTAAAGATTACCTAATCCAACCCCCCTGCCATAGGCAGGGACATCTTTCACTAGCCCAGATTGCCTTTTCAAAGCCCTGCCCAACCTGACCTTGAACATTTCCAATGATGAGGCATCCACAACTTCCCTGGGCAACCTGTTGCAGTGTCTTACCACCCTCATTGTAAAAAATTTCTTCATAGGAGAGGTATTCTAGCCCTCTGCTCCTTTTCATGGGCCCCTGCTTTAACAGGTCCATGTCTTTCTTACAAACCTTTACCTGTGCACGTGTCTATAAATGTATTATGTGAGGTGTTACTGGTATAACACTTGCCAAGCCACTCCCAGAAGTGGGGCTAATTGACAATGAAAAAACAAGTCTCTCTTCAAAGATGATCCACATCTCTGAGTGCAGAGTTAGCCAGGCGTCCCCAGTGAGGGTCTGGTCTGTCCAGGAGATCGCATGCAGGGAAGCTCTTGCAGAGAGGCTTGTTTTGGGTAGGTAGTGAGTTACTTTTTATACCTTTTTAGTGTAGATATGTAAGTGGTCATAGGACATCAGTTCCAGGTATAATTGTTTCTGACTCCTGTTTTCCTTATCACAGTTCATTTGTCCTGCACCCATCAAGCTTTCTTTGTCCTGCCTACTACAGCTGAGTGTTAAGGAGATACCCTTCTTTGTTAGTATGTTTACTGGGTGGCCTTTGTGGTGGCTTTGTCAGGAAGCTAAAAATTTAAAAGCATTTCAATGTTAGAAATATGTAATACTTTCAAATGCATTCCTTTACCAGATATTGTCACACATTAGTTGGGGGATTTTTAGCATCTCTTAGAAACATTTCAGTATATCATGTCTTACAGTTTCATTTCTTTTTTTTTGTCATTATCCTTCATAGGAAAGTCAAAGCTGATAGCATTTAAAAAACCCTAAAACCTGCAGAAGGTATGTCCATTACAACTGGTTACATTTTGTAGTACATTTCTGAAAATTTGTTAAGTTTGCTTTTGATTGGCTCTCATGCAGGCCTGTTTAGAAACAAAACTGGATTTTTTTTCTTCGAAAACATTCTTGTGACTTGAAAGTCTGGAGAAACGAGGAAGGGAAATGAACTGTAACATGGTAATGGAATAAACAGCTCTGGTCTGTTTGGGGTTTTTAAAAAAATAGGCAAGGTATAACTTTTTCAATGACATTTTTTACTTCTGTGGAATAAGTAGCCCTGTGTTTAGCACCTTTTACTCGTTATATAAGGGCGGGTAGATAGCTGCTTTATACATCTCTGTGCCTCATCTATGTAAACTTTTAATTTCTATTTCTAATTGCTTCAAACAATTGCAGAGCCACCGTGTATTGTTTTCTGTATTTCAGAAAAAATAAGATGGGTTTGATGAAAGGTATTTTATTGTACCATCTGTTTTGCTGTCGTTATGCTTAATTTTGCAGTGAGACTGGATCTCTGTGTTACCAGTTTGCAGAATTAGTTTTAAACTGTCATTTGTACAGTAGCATGAAATCACAAGCTAATTAAGTGTGCAGGCATTTTTAATAAATATAAGCGTATTCTAGCTTTGTTAATAATGAGACATTAATACCCGATTAAAGCAAAACCTCGGATAATTTTAAATAAAAAAACAAATTCAAGCATAGTTTTTTTGTCAGAGGCAGCTAATGTTAGTCTACTGTTTTTTGAAGATGTTATAGTCCAATATGTAAAAGATTTACCACTGCTGGAATTTAGCAGTGTCCAAGTAAAGCAATAATCCTTGTCAGCTGATAAATGTAGGTTTTCAGAAATGTATAATATGTTTTCTTTATGGCTGAAATACTTTATTCAACTAAGATAATCTTTCTTATGTCCCTTTAAGAAATGTATGGAGATTATATTCAATCACTAAAAGAGATTATAATGTTAAATCTGAAATTGTTAAGACAATGGGTGAGTAACTTGGAGGGGCACTTCTTGTTTCCAGAAAGTCATCTGTTCTTTCCCCTGACTTGTCATGGTTTAACCCCAGCCATCAACTAAGCACCACGCAGCTGCTCGCTCACTCCCCCCCACACCCAGTGGGATGGGGGAGAGAATCAGGGGGAAAAAAATAAAACTCATGAGTTGAGATAAAGACAGCTTAATAGGACAGAAAGGAAGATAATAATAATAATAATAATGATAAAAGAGTTGGAATATACAAAACAAGTGCTGCACAATGCTATTGCTACCACTCAGCCACTGATGCCCAGTTAGTTCCCAAGCAGCGGTCTGCCCTGGCCAACTCTCCCCAGTTTATGGACTAGGCATGACGTCATATGTGTGGAACATCCCTTTGGCCAGTTTGGGTCAGCTGCCCTGTCTGTGTCGCCTCCCAACTTCTTGTGCCTCTCCAGCTTTCTCGCTGGCTGGGCATGAGAAGCTGAAAAATCCTTGACTTGGTATAAATACTACTTAGCAACAACTGAAAACAGCAGTGTGTTATCAACATTATTGTTGTACTAAATCCAAAACATAAGACTGTACCAGCTACTAGAAAGAAAATTAACTCTATCCCAGACAAAACCAGGGCAGTTGTCCATATACATCAAAATGTTCAGACTCACGTTTTTACTGGAACTAAAAGAAGAAATTTTCAGGATTAACTTTCATTTATCAGTGATTTTTTCCAACTGTGATTGAAAAGAAGATACTGTGTCTTAATTATTCTTGTTATACTTGGTATTGCCAGTTTCCCAAGAACGATTAAATAATGCAGTATTGCAAAAAATAAAAGCTTCCCTGTGCTCCTTACCCACGAATTGACCTTTCTAATGTGTCATCTCTAGTCACTTCTGTATTTTGTAGCTGACTGATGTTTGCATATTGTGAGACTACTATTTTTTATATTTCTTCAGCTCTGTTTACAACATATCTACTGAAGTGGTATAAGTGGATATTCATGAGAGAAAGTTCTGAAACAGCTGCTGCTGTGAAAGCCTAAACTCTGTATAAATACATATACATTCATATTATACTCCTCTTCTCTTTTAGGTTCATCGTGCACAAACAAAATTTTAACTGGAACCACTTTGAGCAATATCAAACTCAGCTCAACTAACTCGGATTGTATAGTAAACCCAGACACAGAAGAGGTATGAAGAGGTTTAAACTACCTAAAATATTTGTATGCACATGTGTGTATGTAATTAAATAGATAACATATTATTTATGTTTGAATAAATAATAAAAACTGAAGCAATATACACTTACGTGGTCAGTTAGTAATGAGTGTAAGTTAGATGAGAGCCTGCAATGATTTTTTTCAGCCCAGTTTATGCTCATTCTTTCTAGGAAATACATTTTGACTAGTCATTCCCTGGCACAAGTCACTCCAGATCTTTCAAGCCTTTCTTGATATTTTTTTTCCACTTGCAAATTCTTAAACTACGTGCATCACCTCTTTGAGTTTTCCATTGTAAATCCGTATTTTAGCCTTTTTTTAAAATAACGAAAATCATTCAAGATGCCTTGTAATAAGGTGAGTAGAGATGAAACTGTAGATAGTGTGTCACTGCTGGACTCTGATGAGAAGGTCCTGTGAAGCCGTGGCTGGAGGTAGATACTCAGATGGGGTTGCATGCTCCGTTAGCAGGGCAGAGTGCCTTTGCCTGGGAGAACCTCCTGGCTCCCGCCGGGCCCACGCTGCAGGGCGGGGAGGCTGTACTGGCAGGGCAGTGGCCACGGCCACCGGCTTGCCAGCCCCCGGGCCCCAGCAGCGGGACACCCAGCTGCGGTGGGCTCCCATGCATGCCCCATGGAGTGACTGGGAGAAATAACGGAGCGCCAGCGTCGGTTGGGAGCTCACCCCACCCTCAAAAGAAGAGCTCACCAGCTCTGGGAGTGTTTTTACTCAGTTCCAGGGTTTACAAATGTCATTGCCTTTGTGTTAGTTTAAAGGGTAGGAACAATATTGGCATTAAAGTGTGACAGAGGCATCTCTTGGAAAAATAGTAAAGGATTTGAAAACTGGGACAAATATCTAATATTACGTAAGGAGTAAGTCGCTATATGTTCTCCCCTTCCTGTGTCCCAGTGATTTGGTGGTGCAGTAAACAGAGTCCAAAGTAAGATTGGTTAAGATACAATTGAAAAACAAGGGTTTTCTAATTTTCGAGTAATCTGTAAAATCTACCAATATCTGTTTCATTCTTTACTCTTACTGTTAAGACTCACCAGTAACCATCTAAGTTCAAGAAAATGGAAATAATAGCTAAGAAAGAAATAAGGATGAGAGGTGCTGATTACATTAAAAGCTATGCGCTTTAAGAACTGAAACAATATCAATGTTCAAATAAAACTTTGGATCCTTGTGTGAAAACATGTACAACTCTATCCCAGCTGAAACCAGGACACCCACGAGGCGCAGATCATGTTTAATCTTAGTTGTATCTTTTTGCTGAATACAGAAGGAGATTTGTTTGTTCCCGCTGTCAAATTATATTTAGGAAATCATTGTGTCCCAGTATGAACAACACAGATTTATTTTTTTCTCTTTGGCCACTTCCAGAATTAGGTGAAAACTGAATTTTATACCAACTATTCTTTTCTGTTGCAGAAAATGTTTTACAAACTACTGTCCAAGATGCATTCTCATTTTCTTTGCATTTAAGTGGGGATAAAGCCTTAAAAGAAAAATAGAGAGTGGCTTTGCCTTGGAGACAGTAAGCTAGGAACTGAACATTCTCTGTGCCAGAGATTAATCTTTTGCTTCATGATGCTAAACTATAATTGAATGCTCAGGGCTGGATATGAGAACAAGAATATTTTTCAGGCAGTGATATGCATTTTCAGTGTGAAATGTTGAATTCCTTGTGCTTTATATGTATAGGCACGTAGTAAATAGCAGATGTGCAGGCCAAAACTTGAACAAAATGCTGGAATTGTAGTTAATGCTGTCCTCACTGATGTTGAACTATCATTTCCTGTCTATTTCTTCTCACTGCTTTATTTCTTCTTCCTTAGTGCATAACAAGCCTTCTTAGGCATAGACTGGCAACTGGAAACAGTCCTGAGAATATCTTAGAAACAATGGGCAAAACTTCATTAGAATTCCTTACTGGATTTTAGAAGTGCTTATCTTTTAACATTTTTCTACACTGTCTCTGTGCTTCTTACATTTATTAATTGCATGCTAAGGATGTACTTAATGCCATGATGAATCACAGGCAAAAATATTTCTACCTTGGGGCGTTTAGCATTTGTTGAGCTATAATGGTAACTGAACATGAGGGTGCAGATGTGACGTCAATACAGAGAGCTTTCTTTTTTTCCATGTAATATAACAGAGGTTCTGGGAGCATAATCTCAAAATGATAAACTCTAGAGCTAAAATGTAGCTAAAGAAAAAGAGGAAGGTTTATTGTGCAAACTAGTAAAATAGGCGTGTAGACTTTTGCGTGTACATATATTTTTATTCTTTTCTGTTTGTATCAGCTCTGAGGAGAGATTTTCATCCCACCTTTTTTCAGTACCCATCTTTTCCATGTTTTCTCTCTTTTGTATTGTAGAGTTTTACTCTGGACATAGATCTAAAGGTAAAAAGATTTCTGAGTTCCACTCCTAACTCTACAGCTTACAATCTGTCATCTGAAAAAAAATCTTCTGTGTAATGCTATTGAATGTTTTCATGAAAAACTCAGGAAAAATAGAAGTTTAAGCAACTGGTATTCCTGTCCCAGCCATGTGATGTGCTTTTGCCTCTTGGTACAGTGAAGGTGGTACATAGTGTGACAGCCAGTGGTACCATAATTGGTCATGACCTTGACCTCTCTTTATGTTAAGCCTTGGTGTGTTAAGTTCACTGTTCATATGATGAGGGTAGAATGTAAGAATTTGTGGCTGCTTATATTAATTGCTTTGATATAAATTGCTCTATGTACGCCAAAGTGGTGTTCCTTTTTTTCTTTCACTTTGGTGTCTTTCTTCATGTTTTTAGATTCTAGTCCTGCACTAACTTCTCCACCTTTGTCCCCTATAGTGTTTGTGGACCTGTATGCTTTCCATGTATGTTCTCAAGGGCCTCCTCTTTTATGGTAAAACTCTACAAAGAAATAAGAGAATGGGACTTGTGTGAGACACTAAGGCCACGGTGGTTGGGGTTTTTTGTTGGTATGGATAACACCTTTCAATGTGTACTTCTTGAATCACAGTGTTCAGGGTGATTTAGTTGAAAACTGATTGGGATTGCACAATTACAGTGTGGTACATTTCTGACTAGTTTATATGTGGAAGAGTAAATATATAGATGAGCAAGAGTTTTGTAAAACGCTTTTAATGTATGTGACATATTTAGATACTTGTGGCACTGAAGTATTTAAAAAGTCTATAGGGAGATGATTAGTTCAGTGAACAATGAGTATTTAAACGGATATTGAAAAGTCTCCTCTGTAGTAAGGGGGCTGAAAGAGGACAGTATATAGCTCTTGAGACACAAAGATGTGATCTTTTGGGTAAATACTTTATCCTAATGTATATGTGAAAGTGGACTCAATTAGGTTTGCAGACACAAAACCAATTGTAGAATCTTTACTTTTCACTCTGAAACCTTTCTCTTTAAAACAATGTTTTAAGTCATATCTACCCCATATGTGTGTATGCATGCAATGATTACACAAAGAAGGGTTTGTAGTAGCTTGCTATCTGCCGTAAAGCAGTTTTTTCCACATTTTATCTTAAAATTAACTGCTCTCTAGTTTACAGTTATATGGTGTTTATCCTGTGTGTATTATTTACACTTACAGTTAACAATATTTGTAGAAATGTCCCAGGCTGCTATAGTGTTTTGCTCCACAGTTTAATTGCCCTATATTGCTAACAAAATTTTGAAAATGGACCCTCAAAAATGGGCTGTAGACTTCAACTTTACACTTTTTCTTCAACTGGCTTCTAATGCATATTTGTGCAAATCTCTAAACCCGCAGAGCACATTTTCAAAATATTAATTATAAGCACTACCTGTTTTTTTCAGGGGCCAAAAGCCAAAGTTCTTGAAGATAAGATGGTGGATCTTGGACAAGAGTTACCTGATGTAGGTCCTGGTGTCGGTCTTCAGTATGGTGTCAGCTGCACTCTACAAGGAATGCGAAATAAACTGAAGGAAGCAGCAAGTAAAATCTCAATTCTGAGCCAAGAGAAGCAGCAGCTGATTGAAATGGGAAACAGACTCAGGGCAGAACTTGTAATGGTATTAAAGGAAGGTAAATTTATTCTACGGAAGAGTGCTAGCTTAAATATTTAGAATAAAACTTGGGAATCAGTTCATCCTTTGAGCTGGAGAGAGCTAGGCTTTAATATGAAAGCAAAGTGCTGGACCTCACTGTTTCTTGATCTGCATAGTTTGTGTGAGACTGCAGTGCTAATTGTTGCAAGTAAGATTATCCTGTGATAGGAGGTGCTAACATAGAACAATGAGGGTCTGTAGGCAGTAACTTTCTGTTGATTAACATCTTAGATGAAGGACTCCCTGGTGCTTAGATGTCGGTGTGGGAACTGGAAGTTGAACTCGGACTTCTTTTAAGAGCAGAAAAGAGGTAGTTTGTCTCTTGGAATAAAAACTAATGCATTATGAAAGTGGAAGAGAAAGCAGAATAAGCTTACTATAGAGTAAGCTTGAATCAAGAGTATATATAATGTAGGAAGATTTCACTGCAGACATTTAAGTTCCATGCAACAATTACTCTGGCAATGAAGCAAAGGGAAAAAACATGAGGCCCATTTCCTCATCGCACTGAATCCATCTGCAATGGGAAGGCCTGTGTTCTGTGGTTCATTTATATCCACTATGAACACTTGCTGGGAATGTAAAATTGATGACAAAATAACAAAAGAGAATGCCTTTCTCAGTATTGTCTCTCCTTTATAGGACTTTGGCATCCTGTTAGCTCTAAGGGCTGCACAGTTTGTATTGCTTCTGGTAGTCTTTTTCCAAGAGAGCTTGTCAAAAGAACACAGTGTCAGCTATCAGCTTTAAAGCATCTACAGCACAGGCTTACAACACAGGTAATGATATGCTCTCCGAAATCGAGTGATAATGAGCAGTTAAGCCAGTTCTAATTCCATGAATATAACTTTCCTTAAAATTCTGCATTTAAATGTCTTTTACTGACTTTAGCTCAAGTCTTCCTTTGGTGCCTTGGAAGATTTCATAGAATCATAGAATGTCCTGAGCTGGAAGGGACCCATGAGGATCTCTGAGTCCTGACTCCACACAGGGCAACCTAGAAGTTAAACCATGTATCTAAGAGCATTGTCCAAATGCTTCTTGAACACCAACAGGCTTGGGGCCATGACCACTGCTTGGGGAGCTTGTTCCAGTGCTTGACTACCCTCTCGGGGAAGAACTTCTTCCTAATATCCAGTCTGAACTTCCCCTGATGTAGCTTTAAGTCATTCCCTTGCATCCTATCACTGCCCACCAGAAAGAAGAGATCAGCACCTCCCTCTCTGCTCCCCTTGTGAGGAAGTTGTAGACAGCAATGAGGTTATTCCTCAGTCTCCTCTTTTCTAAGCTGAATAAGCCAAGTATCCTCAGCCGCTCCTCATAAGTCTTGCCCTCTAGTCCTTTCACCATCTTTGTTGCCCTCCTTTGGACACATTCAAATATTTCTATATCCTTCTCATATTGTGGATTCCAAAACTGCCCAACATTACTCAAGGTGAGGCCACACCAGTGCTGAGTATAGTGGGACAGTCACTCCTTTCAAGTGGTTACCTATACTGTGCCTAATGCACCCCAGGGTACGGTTGGCCCTTTTGGCCACAAGGGCACACTGTTGACTCATATTGAGCTTACCATCAGCCAAAACCCCCAGTTCCCTTTCTGCAGGGCTGCACTCCAGCCTCTTGTCCCCCAATCTGTATGGACATCCAGGATTACACCATCCCAGGTGGAGAATCCAGCATTTGCTCTTGTTAAATTTCATACGGTTGGTGATTGCCAAGCGCTCCATTCTATCAAGATCTCTCTGTAAGGTCTCCCTACTCTCAAGGGAATCAATGAGTCCTCCTAATTTAGCACCATTGGCAAACTTACTTAGTGTGCACTCAACTCCTGTGTCCAAGTCATTGATAAAAACCTTGAAAAGAGCTGGCCCTAAAATGGAGCCCTGGGGAACACCACTGGTGACTGGCCACCAGCCAGATGTTACCCCATTTACTTAAAGGTTTACATTTGGGACTTCAGAATTAACTTTTTTAAACGTGATTTTCATCCAAGGAATTCAGAAACACTTGTGTTAATTCAGCATAAATGCAATCCTGAATTATGAGTTTCATAAAGCTTAGTTTTAAATAAGTAAGATAGGCCATTTGAAGGATTTGCAGTGTGTTCTAAGATAAACTTGAAAATGATTAATCATTGAGCATACTACTAAATGTCCGCAATGGTGGGATTCTAAAACACCCTTGTCCAAATTATTGTAATAGCACATTTTTCATATATGAAAGTAGGATATATAATTAACCTGTCTCTTATCTTCTGTAATTAAAATGCAACTTTTAATAGTTAAATTGCAGTTTTCATCAGAGAGACAATTGGATAAATCCTGGCTCCCCTAGTAGTTAGTGGCAGACCTCCCAGTGACTTCAATAGTCAGGATTTCACTATGTACTTTACTTAATTGATCAGCAGATTTGTTCCTGTGAGGATTGAGTCAGAGCAGCTGATTGTCGTTGTAGTTTTGAGGGCAGTAAACAGTGTTCTTTCAGAAAGGGTTAGGTTGTTGCTCCGAGGTATAAAACTCCAGTAGAATTATTAACCAAGTTCAGTTGGGGAAATACTTCCTCTGGGAACCTCTCTGGGCAGCTTGTTTCAGTGTTTGACCACCCTCCCAGTAAAGAAGGTTGAGGTTTGCGGGGGGGGTGGTCCCCTTATGCTTAAGTGTAGTGTCCTGTACTTCACTTTCTGCCCATTGTCTCTCATTCTTCCACTGTATACCACTGAGAAGAGTGTGGCTCAGTCATCTTTACCTCCTCCCACCATCCCCATCAGGTGCTTATACATGTTGAAAAGATCACTCCTGACCTATCTCTTCTGGAGGCTAAAGAGGGCCAGGTTCCCCAACCTCTCCTCATATGTCAGATGCTCCAATTTTTTGATCATCTTTGTGGCTGTTTGCTGGACTTGCTCCAGTATGTCCATGTCTTTCTTGTACTGGGGAGCCCCAAAGTGGACACAATACTCTAAATGTGGTTGCACCAGTGGTTGGTGGAGGGAGGTATCACCTTCCTTGACCTGCTGGCAGTGCTTTCCCTGATGCAACCCAGGATGCTGTTGGCCAAAGGCCTCAAGAACGCATTGATCCCTCATGTTCAACTTGTAGTCCACCAGGTTTCCTGTTTCTTTTCTGCTGTGCTGCTTTCCAAGCAGTCAACTTCCAGCCTATTAGATTGAAACTGCAATCTCCTCTGCCTTTGGGGACAATCAACTGAATTAAAGCTAATCTCCTCTGGAGGATCCTGTCTATTTTTAATTCTCTCTTTATGCATTCTTATTTCTCTTAACTGAAATCAAGAACAGATTGAGAGCCTTTTTGTGGATTACTAAAGTTCATTCAGGAATATGTAGGAGATTGAAGTTTAATGTTTCTCTTTTTACATACTAAGATCTCTGTGATAATATGAAACTACACAGGAGAGAATCCTATCATGTTGTCAGATTGCACTAAGAAATCACAAATGTCGGTCATTTACTTGAAAATTTTACCATCTGAACACGTTCTAAAATCATCTTAAACATTTTTACATCTAGACACATTCTAAAAAGATAAGACAGTATAACCACATATTCGTTTTGAGCATGCCATCCTGTGGTTTTTTCAGCCTGAAGTTATCGCTATTTTCTTCAGATGTTTTCTGGTTGGCCTAAATGTATTACAAAGAGTATGAACCATCCAACCAGACAGTTTGGATGACAAAGGTGAGTTTCTTAAAAGAGCCAGTGGAAGTAAATTGTAATGAATATTTGATTTTTCTTACATATAAGAATGATGTTAAAGAAAAAAAACATATTAACCTCTGTAGTTGCTTAGAATAAGTGCTACAAATTAGGTAAATGAAGGTTAAGTGACTCAGCTGGCACTAATTTAACCAGTTGTATATCTGGGCATGACATGCTTTCAATTTGAAATTTAGTTCTGCCAAAAATAGATTTTTTTTTTTCCTGTGAAGTAAAACAGCGCTGCAGATTAGCCTTGTAGTTATACCCATGAGGGGTGTTAGCTGGACTAATTACAAAAACTTCTGGGTCAGTTGATTTAAGAAAACAATGGGAAAAGTTGTCCAGCAATTAAATTTGAGAACAAGAGTTGACAGGGTCGAGTTCAGTCTTCTGCTGTCAGGTCTTTAGGCAGACAGTTATCCAGCTTCTGCAGGACATTGCTATTCTCTTGGATAAAGGATAGTAGTAAAAACAGGTAGTACTTGTTTGGAGGGGTTAAACATTTGAATGTGAAAGGAAAAGGCTCTCCAAGCATCCAAAGTATGCAGCAGTATTTCAGCTGGGAAAGGCATATATTTGGGGAAGAAAATGGGTACATATGTTTCTTGGCAGATTGAATCTATGGCAATATTTTGGAATATGTTCTAAGGGAACCCGGCAGGGAAGAACTCTGTGTTTGGATGTCCCATCACAGGTGCTTGAGTTTCTCTTAGCTTCTTCCTAGCCAAAGATATCCAACAGGAGGGGCGCTCCTGTTTGATAGAGAAAGGTTGCCTGAAGTCCAAAAGGCTGTGCTGTTAGAGTCAATTAGAACCAAATTTAAACAGATTGCTTGAGTGAAAATAAGCCCCTGTTCTTCTTTACTGCTCATTAGTCAATGAAGAAGTTTTAAAGGTTGTAATGTGAGCAAACATTGTAAACCATCCATCAGACAGTGATAAACTGAGAATGCCATCTGGTGTACCTTTACAGAGCTAATGGAGACTTATTCTTCCTTAGATGTAGCAGACAGTCTGAGATAACAGAAACTGAGAATTAACGGGTCAGTCAGATAAGTGTAACGTGAGCTGGAGAATCTGGTATATTTCACAAAATTTATCTAATTGAGTTCTTTTGACATCAAAAGTATTAGTGAGGGCATAAAAAATACTAGTTAGGAGATACCATAGTGAAAGCCAACTGAGTTCCGAGACTGAGAAGGCTCAAATTATTCAAGCTCTGTGTGAACAGCTCTGGGAATGCAGCACTGTTTTGCAACTCTTCATTGACAGTTTGAGGACCTGATCAAGACCTGTCACTGCAGCACTGTCACAAGAAGTATTAGCATCTTGTTGTAGCGTGAGGAAGGTCCTCAGAGAAAAGAATCGGGGAGCATCAAATAAATAGCCTTGCTGGCATGTCAATGATACATCTTATGGGATAGTGGTATGGGGCTACTTCCGGAGCAGAAGATCTTAAAATTTTTGTAAAACTCCAAGGTGAAAAGATCAGCTCTGGTCCTAGATGACAGTCCTGAGCATAAGATTCTGATCTCCCTCTTGCGGGGTTTCAGAAGGAAATAGGTGAGGCAGCTGTTAAAATGTGCAGGAAGCCTGGAAAATGGTCTGCCAACAGGTGAACTTACTGTGGAATGCCTCAGCGTGCTTGTGGATATATAATTTGTTCAGGATGCTTGTGAACATCTTACTAGCTTAAAGTCACAAGCTTGCCATCCTTTGCCATCCACTTTCAGTTCAGTGAACTGTTTCTTAAGCTCTTAAACTCTAACATGGGGAATAATTTTTACAAAGGAGATTAGGGTCCAGCAAAGCATTTGAGGAGACCTTTTGTAGACTGCTTGTTTCATCTGTGCACTGCTTGGATCGAGGTCTGGAAAGGATTAGCTAAATGCCTATACTAAATGTATGTAAAAGCGATTTCCAAATCTGGACAAAATTGCCACAATTCAAAACCACATTTTTTACAATTTTTTTTTCTCCACCTTTTAAATTTTTCTTTCTTTCACAGCTCATCTTAGAACTTAGCTGACTCTTAAATTGAGACCAATGAATATTCATTGCCCATCCATCCCAGTCTTCCCTTGCCTTATTTTTAATGAGCTAGGTACTGTGTTTGCTATTTTTCTGACATCTCGTGTCTCCCATGTTCTTTTTAAAATCTTGAAAGATTATTCTTGCTTTTGTAAGAATAGATTTTAAAAATACAATGTGTCCGTGGCTCTTGGAGAGGTAGCATTTGACTGTGAGTTTCCAGGTGGTGTGCTAAACTCCAGCAATAGTAGTCCAACCTCTTCAGCTCATGGGTTGCTTGGAGGTCATGGTTGAAGTGGCTATCATTGAGGATCTTTCCAGCTCTGGAACCTTTGGGATCATCTCTGTTACTGCTGGAATTTGTCCAGACTAGAAAGAAGGATAGCCCTTCTTATATCTAAGCTGTTCATCTTCAGTAGTCTCATTCCAGGCAGCTCTTTACCCAGAACATACCTGCTGAGGCTTCAGCTCCTGCGTTGAAGCTGAGCTCCAGGTTGAGTTTCTGAACCCTGCTATTCTAGTTTGGCTGGTTTTCTTCTAGGTAATCACTCTTACTAGTCAGACTACATTTGCTCCTGCGTTCAAGATCATCATCCTTACCAAAAACTGAGAGAACATATTACTATCATACCTACAGCAATTTCAATATCAGTTACTTTATATGATAGGCTCATGTTTAGCTTCTTTAGTCTTAAATATACAACAAAAGACTTTGATGTTTATTTTCACCTCCTTTGACAGGGCTGAAGCAGTCTGCTTTTCATCATATCTCACTTTAATTGCTACATGTTGAAAGTTGGGGAAACTTTGTGTGGTAATTAGGTTTTTTTCATTGCTGACAAATTACTTTTCCATAGTTTGCTTTATTTTGTTTGGGTTTTTAGGACTTCTTTGGCAGTTTTTCTTCTGTAATTTAATCATGGGAAATGACAAAAGTGAAGAATGACCCTGACAATGTAAACTTGAGTAACAAGGCAGGATGATAGTAACAGCAGCAGGAAATGTAGATTTTGAACAAATTTAATGAGAGGTTTATTATGAGGGTAGTGTGGCCCTGTTGATCCAAAGGGAACATAATTTTGTTTAATATTATTTATAACTGATTATTTTAAATCTAGCAGTGTAACAGCAGACTGAGCTATAAATGTATTATTTTTAGAGACCATGCGTTATTTGTGTTAATGTAATATTTCATATTAGGAGCTGCAGTATACAAAGCAACACCATCCCTCAAGGATGCCTTCTCTAATTGCCTGCCCTAGCTTAAAGGAAGAAGAAGCTCCAAGCAGCTATGGAGAAGAAACAGAATTACCATCCGCTGAGGTACAGTGCAGTTTTATCATCAATGTAATTTCCCTTCAGCTGGATTTTTCAGTTGCAGTTTCTCAACAGTCGTCTCCTGGAAGACTTAAAAATATAGGTATTTTTTTAAGTTATGCATTGTTCCTGCACAAAATAGTATCTGTTAACACTTAATAAACTAGGGTTTCTCAATCACTTTCATGATGTTGTAATTAATCTCCTTATACAACCTTTCAAAACTAAAAATAATAATTTTCTTTTGTCTTGCCTCTTGCTGAAACCTTCTATCTTTCCAAGACCAAGATGCCCCTGTGAGATTTAACCAATTTTCAGATGTCTTTGATGTGAAACGTACGTATCTCTGTAAGATTGTGTTCGAATTTGAGCAGGTTCAGCTAGATTTCTCTATTGAAAATCATGGGCCAGAGCAACGAAAGGCAGATACATCCTCAAAAATCATTCAGAGTCAGCCACTCGGGCAGAGTCCTAGTCAAGCCCAGCAAGTCCAGCTTTCTTCATCTGGAGCACATAATTTCTGCCGAGGTATTTGGCAAACTTTAGAAATGGGATCAAGCCTTTCTGTTCTCACTCCTCAAAAGAACACTGACCAAGGTAAGCATGCTTTGTAAAGTAGTCACAGTATTTGACTCTTCTAGAAGAATGGAAGTACAGTAGTGGATTCTGCCCCCTTCCACTAAATTTTTTACATGACTGCTACTGTTATTACAGTCCTGTAATCAGAATCTGAAGATCTAATGAGTTACTTGAAGGGAATTTCACTGTTGCCAGCAGAAGTAAGAATTAAAAGAAATACCTATATAGCTCTCTGGTTTTAATGCCATTGTTGCAAATACTTCTCCCCTTTTATTAGATACTCCTGGAAATGCAAATACCCTTCTGTTTTGACATAGTCTAAACCTTATCTGGGGCAGATATGAAAGTGTCTGTCTGAGAATTGCACACTGCATGTGTTGCCAAATGACGGTTAAATCAAATTGTAATTTGGCAAATCCTTGCTTAATCATTTTTGTGGCAGGTTAATAGCTACAATACAGTATAGTGTGCTAAGACCTAAAGGCCAAAAGTGAGATCATGGGCATAATGTGGTATATGCTGTGGGCACACAGTGAACTAGGTGTTGTTATCCACTAGAATTTTACAATCCAGTGCAACAAGTTGGAACGTAAAAAAATAAAAGCAGACACAAATTCTTATATGTGAGACAGCATCCTGACCTTACATATCAGACAGTATCAGGTTTAGGATGAGAGGAGAAGGTAAAGCCTAGGTCATAGGCTGAACGTTAATCAGTGTTATACTTCTACAAAAAGCACCACATTCTTGGAAAATTTTAGCAGGAGCGCCGTTTGTAAGATACGTGCAGTGAAGTGTAGCCTCTTCACAGGCAAATTGTAAAGGAACTTTTTAATGGTAGCCATTATGTTGAGTGGTATATTGCAGATGAATGTTATGTCTCCCACACTGTTGGCCTGTTCATGAAGTAATCCTTCATTGGCAAAACTTTGGAAAACTGTTCTAACACTTGCTGTGGATAGGACAAAAAGTAATGGCCTTAAATTATAATACTGGAAAAACTTTAAGGATGGCTAATAATGGAGTATGTTCCCCAGCAGGATTGTAGACTCTTCTTTATAAAGGGTCTTTATAAATAGACAGACAAACATTTCTCCAGAATGTTCCAAGTAAAGGTGATTTTTATATTTTAATAAGAGGCATAGCATTCAACAGATTATTTCTTACAGTGTTGTGGGGCTTGTGTGGGTTGCTTGGTTTTTTGATTTTGATATTTTTATCATCATCATTTGATGATCTGATGGCAGCTGTGGAGTAACATGGCAGCCATCTAGCCTTTTCAAATGAGCTTTATATTAATAGTGACCTGTTACCGTTACATAGATGCTCATGTGCCATTAACCACATACCAGATTGCAGGAGCAAGAATGCAACCAGTGGGTTAAGGGAAGTGGTTTGTTCTCCTCTATTTGGTACTTGTGAGGCCACATCCATAGTACAGTGTCCAGTTTTGGACCCTCTGGTACAAAGGATTGACAAACTGGGAGTCCAGTGGAGAGCCACCAAGACAGCTAGGGCGCTGGAACACACGTTACAGGAGAAGAGGCTTAGAGAGCTGCGTTGTTCAGTGTGGAGAAGAAAGCCAACAGGTGGTCTGATTGCTGCTTTTTAACTACCCAGTAAGGGATTTTGGAGAAGCCAGAGCCAGACTCTTAGAGGTGCACAGTGAAAAGAAAAGAAAAGAAGCAATGGACACAAGTTGTGTCAAGATACATTCTGAGGAGGGAGTGATAAGCACTGTGACATTTCACCCAGAGGTCCTTTCCAACCTACATCATATCTATTTTTAAACCAGTGTATAGGTGCAATGAACCATCTTTAGTGGCACACAAGAAAAAAAAATATTTTAAAGGGCTTTCAAAATGAAGAATGGATTACAAGTGTCTTTATTCACAACAGCAGTGCATTGCAGGGACAAAGTAATGTGCACTGACAGACCTGTAGGACTGGAATGGACATAGTGCTGACAGTCATGATTCATGTGCTTTTTTTGTGGGGCTGGAACTGAAATAGGAAGAGTATTTCAGGTCAGGCCTATATTGACAGGATAAGCAAAAGGATGTCTTTGAAACATTACTGATAGTGCCATGCAGTTTCATGCTCCTGTATGCATGATGCAACACCACTGGCAGCCTTACAAGGACATCAGTTTCTTAATGTCTAGAAATTTCCAGCCACCATTGCAAAACTTACTGTAGATTTTTGGGGATCTAGAAAATAGCAAAAGGGAAAGATGATACTGCCAACATGAAACAAGTGAAACATCAATAAGGGGTGATGTTTTCCTGAGAACAACCTTAATTTGATCTCTGCATCCAGATTTACCCTAAGAACACCTGAGCAGAACTTCTTACTCAAACATGCAGGCCCTGAAATACTTAATTGCAAAAATAGGACTTTTAAAAACTCTTTTGTGTTGCTTAGCTTTCTCCTCCAGGAAACCATCCAAATGGTATCCTTAATTTTACTATACTGAATTCTGCATTTCAGAAAACAAGATTGTGAAAGCAAAATCTTTCTTTTCTGGAAGAATGTCACGTCAGAGCAGAATATACAAAATTTTCAAGGAGTTCTGCTTCTGATTTTTAGCAGAAGCTTGCATTATTTTTCATGCCTGAGCTATGGAAAATTAACTCAATCTTTCCTGTTTAAAACCACTCACTTGAGTTTAATACATTCATCAAACACATGGTTACAGTGGATAGAACAGTCATTAAGACAGAGTGACTCGGTACTGGGCTTTCAGATAAAAGTGACGCACACACAGACTTGAAAGCTCAGTAACAAAAAATGACTTGCAACAAAGCAAGCAAGTTTGCTTATTCAAACATTTCTTTTACAAGTTCAACTCTGTACAAATCTGTCACAGCAGTAGCTGTGTTTTATAGGCATTTCTGGTGAAACAGAAACAATTGTAGTGTGAGAATGATTTTTCTGAACCTGTTGAACAGCTTCCTTCATTTTTTTTCATGTACAAAACAACCTATTGGGACTTAAAATGGTTGGCATGTCAAGTAAGCCCTGCAATTTGCTGTATTTCCAGCATATGACACAATTCAGTGACTCAGGAGCATTTATGGCTACATGTTAACAGTGAATTACTGAAGTGGACTGTCATATACTTTGTTCATTTCACCATCAAATTCAGAACTTGTGGAAGCTTCCATGCAAGTCAGAAGGCTATGAGATATTTTAATTTTCTCTCTCCTTACTCTACCTGCTGATTCTTAGTTTGTACTGCAGGAATGAGATTAATTTAATAATTTGTATGTTAATGCTGCAGATAAGTAGAAAGAAAGGGTTTAGAAAGAACACAGGTTCCTTGTTCAGGTGTTTTTATTGTTCTGTATTATTGAAAGAAAAAGATCCTGCTACAGAGATAGACAGATACAAGCCACAATGATATTAAAAGTGTCAGTGTTATATATGTAGACTGTACTAGTAAGAAATATGCTTCTCTCTCTCTTTCCGTTTTATATGCCCTATCCCAGAGGTTGAGAGCAGGTGGAAGACTTCAGTTGGTGATCCGTATCATACGCGTCTTGAAAGCTGATGACAGGCCATCCTCAAAGGAAAGTTGCTTGTCAGAAGAGTTGTATGCTTTCCTCTGAAAATCAAGACACATGTATACAACCATGTGATTAGCTTCTGTACATGGTGCAAGGTTTCTCTACTCACCTGTGGGCTATAGGGCCTTTTTTGATTTTAGAATAA